TTAGTTGAAGCTAAAGTCAATAACATATCAGGTGTTGCGAAGCTCATTGAAGGCTCTGGGAAAGCATATGTGATGCTCCCTAACGAGACAAAAATTATTATAAATGACGCTTTATATATACTCCAACAAATCGCGGAGAAATTTATTGAGCTTTAAAGATATGCGTCAAAATGGTTATCACATAGAAACCATGAATGAAAATCAAAAGGAATATCTTTGTCTTACGACAACTAAATATGGCACTAAATATATTTGTGAAAAAATGCCAGCATATTCCTGAGGACTATATTTCACATATATAAGTCCATTCGAAATAAATTTGGTTTCTAACACAAAGTTAGATGATCAGAAAACATTCATGTTGTGGCATGACCGTTTAGGTCACCCAGGCCATGTAATGATGCATAAAATCATTAAGACTTCACTTGGACATCCATTAAAGAATATCATGATTCCATTGCCAAGTGATTTTCCTTGTAAGGCCTGTTCTCTTGGAAAAATGATCATCAGACCTTCTATGAACAAAATTGCAACTGAATCACCCGCATTTTTAGAAAGGATTCAAGAAGATATTTGTGGGCCAATTACCCCACCGTGTGGACCATTTCGATATTTTATGGTGTTGATTGATGCTTCAACACGTTGGTCACATGTCAGTCTTTTATCGACTAAAAATTTAGCATTTGCTAAACTCCTTGCTCAAATTATAAGATTAAGAGCTCATTTTTCGGATCATTCTATAAAAAGAATCCGACTTGATAATGCAGGAGAATTTACATCCCAATCATTTACCGACTATTGTATGTCGATTGGGATTGATGCGGAGCACCCTGTTGCTCATGTCCATACAGAAAATGGTCTTGCTGAATCTTTGATTAAACGATTACAATTAATCGCCAGACCATTATTAATGAAGTGTAACTTACCTTCATCAGCTTGGGGACATGCTATTTTACATGCATCAAATTTAATTCGGTTTAGACCAACTGCATATCATGAATATCTCCCAATGCAATTAGTATCTGGACAAGAGCCAAACTTAGCATACATTAAGATATTTGGTTGTGCTGTTAATGTTCTAATTGCTCCACCTCATCGTAGAAAAATGGGTCCTCAAAGAAGGTTGGAAATTTATGTTGGATTTGAATCTCTCTCAATAACAAAATATCTCGAACCGATGACTGGTGACTTATTCACAGCACGGTTTGCAGACTGTCATTTCAATGAGACAATATTCCCAACCTTAGGGGGAGAAACTAATAAATCGGACCCAAGTACGAAAGAAATAACATGGAATGCAACAGGATTATCACACCTTGATTTTAGATCAAATATATGTGAGCAAGAGGTGCAAAAGATAATCCATTTACAAAATGTTGCAAATCAGTTGCCTAATGCATTCACAGATACAAAGAAAGTGACAAAGTCACATATTCCTGCCATGAATGCTCCTGCCAGGATCGAAATCCCAGCAGAGAATTCTGAAAAATCTCTTGCAAATGATTCTTCTATACGCAAAAAGCGTGGTAGGCCACTTGGATAAAAAGACATAAAACCAAGAAAAACTAAAAGGCAGGAATTGATCTGTGATGCCAAAGATGTTCATCCTTCTCAACAAGAAAATGAACAATTTGAAAATACTGGCATAGAAAATGATATTAACATAACAAACATCTCAAATGATGATCCAACTTCCTTAAACGAGGAAGATATTCCAGATAACGATAGAAACGTTGATAATTATGAAATTTCAATAAACTACGTTTCTACTGGAATGCAATGGAATCAAAAAGATGTTGATATTAATGAGATATTTGTCTATGTCGTTGCCATGAATGTTATGAATGAAAACAATGACAATGAGCCAACATCAATTGAAGAATGTCGAAAATGACATGATTGGCCAAAATGGAATGAAGCTATTCAGGCTGAATTAAAATCACTTGAAAAACGTGATGTTTTTGGACCGATAGTCCCTACGCCAAAAGGCGTAAAACCGGTGGGCTTTAAATGGGTATTTGTACGTAAACGCAATGAGAAAAATGAAATCATAAGATATAAATCCTGACTTATTGCCCAAGGGTTTTCTCAAATGTCGGGAATTGATTATGAAGAAACTTATTCTCCAGTAGTTGATGCAACTACATTAAGGTTTCTCATTGGCATGTCTATTTTTGAAAGACTGCAAATGCGCCTAATGGATGTAGTAACTGCATATTTATACGGTTCACTCGATACAGACATTTATATGAAAGTTCCCGGAGGATTTAAAATGCCTGAAGCTTATAGCTCGAAACCTCGAGAAATGTTTTCCATTAAACTACATAAGTCATTGTATGGACTAAAACAATCTCGACGAATGTGGTATAATCGTCTCAGTGAATACCTTCTTAAAGAAGGATATAAGAATGATCCAATTAGTCCATGTGTTTTCATTCGGCGATTAAATTCGGGATTCGCCATAATTGCAGTATATGTTGATGACTTGAATATTATTGGAACTCCCAATGAGATTGAAAATACTGCAAAATATCTTATGAAAGAATTTGAAATGAAAGATCTCGGGAGAACCAAATTTTGTCTCGGACTTCAAATTGAGCATTTGAAGAATGGAATTTTCATCCACCAATCCAATTACACCGAGAAAGTGTTGAAGAGATTCTATATGGACAAATCTCATCCTTTGACTTCACCAATGGTCATTCGATCTCTCAACATAAATGATGATCCATTCCGTCCCTGAGAAGACAATGAAGAAATACTCGGTCCCGAAGTACCATATCTGAGTGCTATTGGAGCATTAATGTATTTAGCTAATAATTCTAGACAAGATATTGCATTTTCTGTAAATTTATTAGCTAGGTACAGCTCATGTCTAACGAGGCGTCATTGGAACGGGATCAAGCACATATTCCGTTATCTACGTGGTACACCTGATCTCGGCCTATTCTACCACAAAGATGCAAAAGCCACTTTAATCGGATATGCAGATGCTGGATATTTATCAGATCCTCAAAAGGTGAAATCACAAACCGGGTACGTATTTACTTATGGTAACACCGCAATCTCATGGAGATCTATGAAACAGACATTGACAGCTACATCATCAAATCATTCGGAGTTAATTGCATTATATGAAACCGGAAGAGAATGTGTCTGGCTATGGTCTGTGATTCAACACATCCAAAATGAATGCGGTATGAAACCTATTACTTGTCACCCGACTGTGATCTACGAAGACAACACTGCGTGCATAGCTCAGATTAAAGAATGTTACATCAAAGGAGACAGAACAAAACACATATCACCAAAGTTCTTCTCTACTCACGATCTGGAGAAAGAAGGAACGATCATCATTCAACAAATCAGATCCAGTGAAAATCCGGCCGACCATTTCACCAAATCTTTATCCCCGAAGAAATTCATAGAACTTGTACAGAAAATCGGCATGCGCCGCCTTCAAAATTTATCCCAAGTTCAGGGGGAGTATTTGAATGCACTGCACTCTCTTTTTCCTTCATCAGGTTTTTATCCCACTGGATTTTTTCTGATAAGGTTTTTAACGAGACAAAACATCCAAATACAACGACATTATAAGTCGTAATCTTTACCCCTTAATTTTCGCAACAAATTTTTAAATATTAAATACATGTTCAAGGATGAACATTCAAGGGGGAGTGTTGTAAAATCATCAAAATGACGTGTGAATGTCCATCCTTGTAAACAGGTTACTCATCAAACACAAATCCTTGTAATCACACACATGGCTAGATTCAATACTGCTAGCAAATTATGTAGAATCATTCCTGGATGATTCATCCCTATGCTTGACTAGTATAAATAGGGCATGTTTCATTCATTATAAACTTACTTAGAAACTCAGAAAATTTTCATATATTAAGAAGAAGTTATTCAGAGGTTTTTATCCATATTTCTATCTCATAAATTTAGTCTTGTTCTTCTTCATTTCACAACAGTAAATACATTGAGTAAAGAAGAATAATGCAGGTCCACCATTTTTATTCATTAGTCCTTTTAATTCTCTTTTACTAGTTTGAATAATAAGTTATATTGCTTTAACTGAAGTATTAAATACGGAGTAACTTTTAGTATTGAGTTGCATATATTGCTTTAACTCAAGTATTAAGTAACTTTTAGTAAATATTGACTTGCACTATTTAATGTGTATTGAATTGATTTGAGTATAACTATTTAGATTGAGACTTTTTTAGTTTTTGAATCCCTTTGTCTTTAAAACTTTGACAAGTTTGACCTGCACGGAAAATAATAAAGTGAAAACTATGAGATTGAAGTTTGTGAAGAGAGGATAGAAATAACATGAATCACAAATTACGATTAAAATGCAAAGTGACAAAGTTTTTTAAACTATCCAAAAAGAAAAGATGACAAAGTTTGAAGGGACGAGGGAGAGACTATAATAATGTGGGGCTTCGAATTTAATTTGTATTTGCAATTGGGGTTTCGAGTTCTTTAGACAACTCTGATAAGAATAACTTTATTCTATAATACTAAGTAGTATTTACATTGGACTTGAATCAACTGGTTCAAGTCTTGATTATAATTTTATTTTGAAATGCTCTATAATAATGTTAAAAATTATCCAATAGGATTGAGAATGAGACTTGGAATCACCATGTGTGCAACAATAATGCAAAATCTCAAATAGGCACTGATAATTTATGAGCTACTTAAGATTTCTTCAATCACCACATATGAAAAATATACTAGGTATTATCATATACTCCCTTCGTTCTCATTTTACTTAGTCAATCTTGACTTTTCAAGTCAATGAGGTCTAACTTTGACCGATTATATGTTTATATAGAGAAACTATTAATAATATGAAAATGATATGAAAATGTTCTTTAATAAAAATACTATCATAAAAGTATAAAATTATTAAATTTTGCATAAATATATTAGTTTAAATAATTAGTCAAAGTTTACCATCTTTGACTGGAAAAATGAAAGATCACCGAGTAAATTGGGACGGAGGGAGTAACATTAATGATTAATCATGAAGTTACCGAAGAGCCTCTTAATCAAACATAAAGAGCACTTTATTATTATATATGACCATGACAGAACCGAATTTTCAATTGCATAGAGGGTTTAAAAAATCACAAATTAATTCCACATACATGAAACTCAAAAAACAAAAAGGAAAAACAACAAAAAACATAAATCCACAGTAGTTACACTCTTTGACATGGGGCCACACAGGTGGGATTCACTTCTCCAGCAGCATCAGAAATCTACGTGGCACGCCACCTCCTTAAACTTGTTGGAAGAGTACGACATCACCGTAGGTTTACACGTCACCTTCATCCTGCGATGACGCCACTTCCACTCGCCGGTCTTAAACCGAACCCCACCTCGGAACTTAAGCTCCAGCTCAACCTTCCCGGCCGTCCTCTGTTTCTTGAAGTCCTTCGCAGTGTTGCCGTAAAGTGTCACGTTTTTGGCCTGAAGAAAGATGGGGAAATAGGTCGTGTTCCGGGCAGGCTGGCGGAACGCGGCGGCGGTGGCGGTAGCAATCTGCTCATTCTCGAAATAGAGATGAGCTTGTAAGGGTTTGTATTTAATGGAGGTCCTTTTGTTGCGGTTGTAGGCTTTGATGGTGAAGTTGAAATCGGCAGTGAGGCGGTTGTCGTGATCGGTTAAGTTGTAGTTGTGGACGGTGGCGTTGACGATGGCGTAAACCGGCCTGTGTGGGCGGATCGCCAACCAGACTATGAGGACGATAATGCCGCTGACAATAATTAGCGCTAATAATAACCCGACAATGTTTAGCCACAGCGGCCGTTGTCGAGCAGCGGCCGCCGGAGGCTTTTGGTGGGGGTTGGGAGGATTAGTCTGCATTATGGTATGAGGGCTTCAAGTTCTTAGCTGGTTAGTTACGCAAGTAATTAATTTATATAGAGAGTTTGAAGATAAAGGGGGGGAAGATTACTTGGCGAGGATGTATAATTTGTTCCATCTTTTGAAAAGATAGAATAATTAATAGTTAGTGATTCCTCTCGGTCATTTTTTAAAACCGAAGGAAGATGTTCAGAAAAGAAAAGAATAAAGGTCAAGCAGCCAGCATGTAATATACTTCACTAATCATTATGCATTACTCCCCAAATTCCTTGGACTACACCTGTATGATGCCTCTAAAATTTTGTTATGTTTGTTTGACCAGGAGATAATAAAATAAAAAAATTGAACGCAACAAATACACTCTTGTAATAGTCTAGTAGTTTTTTTTATCATAAACTAGTATAGAACCCGTGCATACGCACGGGATATAACAGTTGGTACATTTTTTACTCATGATCTAATTAAATATCAAAATAAAAATTACTTTTAAGGATTCTACGTTTTTGGAAAATAAGAGTACAATAAGAGAATATCATAAATTATAAGTCATACAATAAATATTCAATGCACACTAGTACAAAAAAGTATTTTTACATCACCTTATCTACATGTGTTATTTTAAAACACATGTAGAATACTAACACGGGGTCATTTTTATAACTTTTATAAACATTTTTAGGTGAGTTGTTGTTATAACCCATGTTAAATAGCCTTTCGGGGTAGTTTTTAAAATTTTACGAAATATTCTACATCGGTTATGTTTGGAACCGATGTGAAAAGAAAAACGGGGCAATTTTCAGAATTAACAAAACTTTATTTTAGATCGGTTAAAACCGATGCGGAAGAGATAATAATAATAAAAAAAGAATCCGCGCTTATTCCAGATCGGTCATACCCGATCTGGATTAGTTAAAAAATTGTGCCGCCTGATTTTAGTACGATTCCAGACCTAGAGCATGCTCGCGACGTACAGAAGATAGAGAGACGGAAGACGGAAGAGCAGTTCAGCGAGTTAGGGCTTTGGACAACATACAACATACTGGGGTGGACGGCATACTGGAGCGAACGGCGGACGGCGTTCAAGCGAACGACGAATGGCGTTCTAGTGGACGGCGTTCGAGCAGCGGACGGCGTTCGTGTAGTGGAAGGCATTCGAGCGGCTTACGAGTATGCGAACCTTCCTTTTCAGGTTTCAATTTGTTGATACTAGTATTTCAGTATTTCACATTTTGTTGCTTCTCGATCAGAATTTTCAAGTTTGATGAAATTGAATTGCATAATGTTGACCTTTGCTGATTTTAGAAGGTCAAATTTTTTGTGATATTATAACATAGTGGACCTTACCTTATGAATAAACTATCTTGCTGTTCAAATTAGAATTTTTAACCATTTTACATGAATTTAAGGTTCTACCCTAATAATCTTGAAATTCTAATCCTGGTTGCAAGTACCAAGATTAGTGAAGATAACAATCACAATTGTTAAAACCATCCTTTTTTCATTATTCACACATCCATTGTATGTAGTTTTTCTATATTCAAAACATTTTTGTCAAGTTTAAATAACATTTATGCCAATCGTGAACAAAGTAATAGTTTTAGGCTAGCTTTTAGCTATTTTATACGTAGTATTATGCATGCTAAATATATTTATTTGGAACTTGTGTGCTAAAAATTTATAGGTTTGTTTTTCTGCTTGAAGAAAATGGACTGATTTTGTAAAGTGGTATTGGTCCACCTCTGTTTGTACTTGGTCTGCCTCATTAATATCTTTGTCTCCTAATTAATGAGCCTGGCCCAACCCTATTACCTACCCGACCAAGCCCATTCGCCTCCCCTTGTCTTTACCAAGCCCATGACTCACTATGGCCCTCTTATATTGTCCGGTTCCTACTGGAACTTCCTATTTGATCGACCTTTCCCTCTCTCTACCCGATGAGCAGCTTAGCCGGTTACCCTAGTTCTAGAGTGAGAGAGTGCTGATATCATCGAGGGTTTAAGCTTCGGTCACCCTCCGGTGATATCTTGGGAATCCTTCTGTGGGCTTCACTTTGTTCTAGTAGTTTGGGGGTTCTTCTCTGGTGGATTATCTAGGTAGTCTGGTCTGGGGGGTTGGGCTCTTAAACTGAGCGTTTTGAGACTGTTGCCCTTTCGGTTTCCCTTGTTGTCTCCTTAAGGGTGAATGGCGAGCTAACCTGTGGGCTATGGCGATTGAGGTCTGAGCCGGTCCAGAAACTCTACAGTGCTATGAGAGCTGGAAGCTGTCTCTTCTCACCGACGCCGAAGACTCGCCGGAAGTTCTCCCCAAACCGGTAATGCCTAGGCTCCTCCTCTGGATAGGTAAGTTGGGTTGTCCGATCTAGACACCCGCTCAGGTATAATAGCTTAAACCCTACCTTGGGCTACCGGAGTGCCACCGAGCTCTGTGTTGCATGGGTAGATCTTAAACCCTAGGTTTAGATCTAGAGATTAGAAACCCTAGATTTTTTTCGTTGCATGTGCAGAATCTGTCTAGACAGATCTGCAGAAACCCTAGGGTTGTTGAACTCGTGCATGGGTGGTGCCAATTTGTGTCGAACTTGGCCCACCACTATCTGTGTGATTATCTAAGCACCTTTGTGATTCTTGCTTGTATTTTGGGCCTTTGTTGTGTGTGACCCTCATCTGTTTCCAACACACTTATTTACCTGTACTTTAGGTTTCTGATCCATTGTAATACTTTGCTTTAAAACCCTAATTGGCTAAGGCCCTTGAGGTTAGGGCTAGGGGATTCCCTACAGACATCTCAGTGGCCCCGGATATGCGTGGTCCCTTAGTCCGCAGCCTAACCTTCTAGGGCTAAGCCTCTGCATTACATTTGGCTCATTAATTGTTTGGGTTTATTGTTTACCATGACTTCTAACATGTATGGTATGCTGCCCTTTAATCGTAAATCTGATTTTGATATTTGAAAACAAAAGATAAAATGTGTTCTTATCCAACAAAAGGTGTATAGAGCTGTCACTGGTCAGTTTTTAGAATCAGCGGATAAGTCTAAACAAACTGAGATGAATGAAACAGCCTGTTCCACCATCTACCTAAATCTATCTGACTCGGTTCTTAGGAAAGTTAGAATCTTAGAGTCTGCTAAGGGTCTGTGGGATAAACTTGAAACTCTTTACACTGATACCTCTTACCTAGAAAATTGTTTTTACTAGAAAAATTCTTTAGATTTAGGCTTGACCTAACTAAAGACATTGAGGAAAACCCCTTGATATTTTTCATAAGTTGATTCAAAATATTAAGCAGGCTGGGGATAAACATATAGATGACTATACTCCTATTGTCCTTCTTAATGCTATTCCTGATTCCTACAATGATGTTTGTTTGTGGAGAGGAAAATTAAAACAAATACACTCTTGTAATAGTCTGGTAGTTTTTTTATCATAAACTAGTATAGAACCCGTGCATACGCACGGGATATAGCAGTTGGTACATTTTTTTACTCATGATCTAATTAACTATCAAAATAAAAATTACTTTTTAGGATTCTACATTTTTGGAAAATAAGAGTACAATAAGAGAATATCATAAATTATAAGTCATACAATAAATATTCAATGAACACTAGTACAAAAAAGCTTTTTTACATCACCTGTGTTATTTTAAAACACATGTAGAATACAAACACGAGGTCATTTTTATAATTTTTATAAACTTTTTTGGATGGGTTGTTGTTATAACCCTTGTTAAATAGCCTTTTGGAGAAGTTTTTTAAAATTTTACGAAATATTCTACATCGGTTATGTTTGGAACCGATGTGAAAAGAAAAACGGGGTACTTTTTAGAATTAACGAAACTTTATTTTAGATCGGTTAAAACTGATGCGGAAGAAATAATAATAAAAAATAATCCGCACTTATTCCAGATCGGTCGTACCCGATCTGGATTAGTTAAAAAATTGTGCCGCCTGATTTTAGCCCGATTCCAGACCTAGAGCATGCTCGCGACGTAAAGAAGACAGAGAGACGGAAGACAGAAAAGCAGTTCAGCGAGTTAGGGCTTTGGACAGCGGACGACATACTGGAGCGGACGACGGACGACATACTGGAGCGAACGCCGAATGGCGTTCAAGCGAACGACGGATGGCGTTCTAGCGGACGGCGGACGACGTTCGAGCAACGGACGTCGTTCGAGCAGCGGAAGGCATTCGAGCGGCTTACGAGTAGGCGAACCTTCCTTTTTAGGTTTCAATTTGTTGATACTAGTAGTTCAGTATTTCACATTTTGTTGCTTCTAGATCCGAATTTTCAAGTTTTATGAAATTGAATTCCAGAATTTTGACCTTTTCTGATTTTAGAAGGTCAAATTTTTTGTGATATTATAACATAGTGGACCTTACCTTATGAATAAACGATCTTGCTGATCAAATTAGAATTTTTAACCATTTTACATGAATTTAAGGTTCTACCCTAATAATCTTGAAATTCTAATCCTGGTTGCAATTACCAAGATTAGTGAAGATAACAATCACAATTGTTAAAACCGTCCTTTTTTCATTGTATGTACTTTTTCTATATTCAAAACATTTCTGACAAGTTTAAAAAACATTTATGCCAACTGTGAACAAAGTAATAGTTTTAGGCTAGCTTTTAGCTATTTTATACGTAGTATTATGCATGCTAAATATATTTATTTGGAACTTGTGTGCTAAAAATTTATAGGTTTGTTGTTCTGCAGGAAGAAAATGGACTGATTTTGTAAAGTGGTATTGGTCCACCTCTGTTTGTACTTGGTCTACCTCATTAATATCTTGCCTCCCTTTGTCTTTACCCAGTCCATGACTCACTGTGGCCCTCTCTTATATTGTCCCGTTCCTTCTGGAATCTCCTATTTGATTGACCTTTTCCTCTCTCTACCCGATGAGCAGCTTAGCCGGTTACCCTAGATCTAGAGTGAGAGAGTGCCGATATCATATAGGCTTTGAGCTCCGGCCACCCTCCAGTGATATCTTGGGGATCCTTCTGTGGGCTTCACTCTGTTCTGGTAGTTTGGGGGTTCTTCTCCGGTGGGTTATCTGGGTAGTCTGGTGTGGGGGGTTGGGCTCT